GTGTCATGAGTGTGGACATGGATTGGAACATCGGGATGCTTGTCGCGGATGGCAGTGATCAGCAGCCTATAATTCAAACAGATCAATGAAATATATGCTTACCAGCAACGAATTGTTTACACATACCTAGCCGACTCTGGCTTCAACAGGCCCGCCATGTCCTTGATGCAGAGGACGTGAGTGCCCGCCTTGACGAGCTCGTCAGCCAAGTTTGTGTAGTACTTGAGATCGTATTTGGTTCTCTTGGGATCTCCCACATCTCCGGTGTAGGAGATGGCCGCCTCTACAACTCCGCCTGCCTTGCCTGCTGCCTCCATGCCGAGGATCAAGTTGGGCAAATAGTTGAGGGAATCGAACACTCGGAAAATGTCCATGCCAGTTTGCACCTAAAAGAGATACATAAGTATCATTCATTGTTATCTCAATAGGTATAATACAATAACTTACCGCTAGTTCGCAGAACTTGTAGACCACATTGTCTGGGTAACTGGTGTATCCAACGGCATTGGCGCCGCGCAACAGCATTTGGAATGGAATGTTTGGAATGAGCTTGCGCATCTCCTCTAGGCGCTCCCATGGGCACTCGTATAGAAACCGTAGAGCTACATCGAATGTGGCTCCACCCCAGTTCTCCAGTGAATACAGATTGCTAAACTTGTGCGCCACATAAGGGGATATTTTGAGCAAGTCATGGGTGCGCACACGCGTGGCCAACAGAGATTGGTGGGCGTCCCGGAAAGTAGTATCCATCAAAAGTAAATTCTTTCGGGAGCGCACCTCCTTGGCAAACGCTTCGGGACCCTCACACTTAAGGATCTCGCGTAGACCCGGCGGCGGCTCCGTCTCTTTGAAAGATAAAGACGAACAATTTTGTTGTTGACCTTTCAACATTTGCAGCTCACCTACCTTTGGGTAATTCGGGCACCTGTACCTTGACTTTTAATGGCATTAAAGATGTACCCAATGGCGTAATGGGTCCGTTGACCAAAACTTCACCCAAATACATTAAAAGCTTTTGCGCGCGATTGTGGATAAAGACTGAGGGCTTAGTAAGATCTGGATTTTCATCTATGAAGTGAGTATCCAATGCGCAGAGTAAGAACTTCTCGTTGTTGAACACATTTAGCAGGAATGGAATATTCGTCTTGATACCCCGAATACGAAACTCACGCAGTGCTCGACTCATTTTAGATGCTGCGATTTCCAGATCACTGGCATGGGCTATCACTTTGACCAGCAGCGAGTCGTAGTAGGGCGAGATGATAGCGCCAGGATAGGTCGAGGCGCCGTCTATTCGTATGCCCATACCCTCGCCGGAACGGAATACTTCGATGCGTCCCATGTCAGGCTGGAAACCCTGTTCCGGATTCTCACTGGTTATGCGGCACTGAATAGCAAAGCCACGTGGCACAATCTTCTCTTGGGTGAGACCCAGCTCCTTGAGAGTTTTACCCTCGGCAATGCGTATCTGAGATCGAACCAAATCAATGCCGGTAATCTCCTCAGTCACTGTGTGCTCCACCTGCAACCTGGCGTTCACTTCGATGAAGTAGAAGTTTCCGGACTCGTCGCAGAGGAACTCCACAGTGCCAGCATTCTCGTATCCCACATGCTTGGCCAGCCGGACTGCTGCCTCGGTCATCTTGTCGCGAGTCTCAGCAGGCAGACGTGGAGCAGGCGCAATCTCAACGACTTTTTGGTGGCGACGCTGAATAGAGCAGTCGCGTTCATATAGATGCACTACCTCGCCAGTCTTGTCCCCCAATATCTGGACTTCAATATGACGTGGTCGTTCAATATACTTCTCAATGAACATTGCGCCGTTGCCAAATGCTGCCTTGGCCTCGGAGCTGGCACGCTCGAAGTTCTCTGCCACTTCTTCCATTTTGCGAACCACACGCATGCCACGACCGCCACCGCCATGAGCGGCCTTTAAAATGACGGGAAGACCATTCTTTTCGCAAAACGCCGAGGCTTCCTCCTTAGAAGTAACTGGGCCATCTGTTCCAGGGACAATGGGTACTTTCGCAGCTATTGCTGCAGTACGTGCAGCCACCTTGTCCCCCATGTTCTGCACCACCTTGGGCGAGGGGCCGATAAATCGAACTCCGGCATCGTTAACGGCCTGAACGAAGTCGCTGCGCTCGGAGAGGAAACCATAACCGGGATGCACTGCATCAATGTCATTTTCCTTGCAAATGCGAATGATCTCTGGAATGTTGAGGTAGGCTTCCACCGGTGCCAGGCCCTTGCCGACCATATATGATTCGTCTGCCTTCTGGCGATGCATTTGCATTTTGTCCTGCTCCGAGTAGATGGCCACCGACTTGATGCCCAGTTCATTACAGGCGCGAAATACGCGTATCGCGATTTCTCCTCTATTGGCTACCAGGATCGATCGTATCGCTTTGTTTTTCCGCTGTTTAAACTGGGTACTCAATCTCACTTCGCTTTGCTTCACTCTCTATACTCACCTTGGAGGAACACCATCTCTTACTGATGAAGCAGTAGTTGAGTCGGAGAAACGCTTTGCGCAGCGATCGAATTGCAGGCGGAGAGTTTTTCAAGTTTGTCATTGCTAACTGCTAAATCCGGTCTTTTCTTCAAGCTCTAACATCATTAGTAATTTAATTTAAAATTTATACTAATATTAAATTATATTCTTCAACTCGTCTTTCTGGAATACGATTCAAATGAATGGGATTTTATGTTTAATAATATTGTTATAATAATTATTATTATTTTGAGTTATGATTATTATGTTTATTGGAGCTTATTTAAATTATTTTGCTTTTATGCGGACCTTTCTCAGTAAAAATAATATAATAATATAGTCTGCACAATAAGGTTGATTCGAAAATATAAGAAAAGAAAGTAGATCTACTTTCAATTATTAAATAGTTTCCTGTTCTTAATGGTTTCATGGTATACAACAAACAATTATTTTGAATGCTTTCTATTTTAAGCATATATATGATAGAATTAGACAAACACTCAATACACTCTGGCGCAGTCATCTACAATTCAACGTGGTATTACGTACCTGAAACAATTTTGACATCGAATATAAAATAATAAAAAAATTTAGTAAGTTTAAAAAAATTCAATATAGATAATGCTATCAAGATAATTTAAATTAACTCATAGAGTTTTCTGACTCTAAAACCGAAGATTGCTTTAACTTATAAATAAAGATATACAGTTCAAGCTGATTGTATATTGCCATAATTTTTCATAAAATATATAAATTGATTTCATTCGTATTTCAGTATTTTTATAGGAAATTCCTTGTTTTATTCACACTTTTACATTTTATAAAATATTTTTGAACATTGTTGATACAAAATTTGGCAAAGGCTTTACAGATATAACATCAAGGATTGGGGGGTCTATAACAACATTTGTGATTTGTGCGTGATTTTGTAACTCTCACAAGATTGTAAACTTTTTCAAAAAGTAATGCCAATACATACATACGTATATACAGATGTACTCATGCTAACATAAATACATACATACACATAAAAAAGACTTAAGCCTAATATAATAATCGAAGTTTGCTGGCAGCACACGATCCTCACATATATTTATTAGATTTCTTGGTATTGTTTGTTTGTCTCGATTGGATGGGGTTGCGCTTATTCGATGATCAAAATTAAGTCATCGCCGTCTAGTTTCATGCCCTTCTTGACCTCCACCTTCTTGACAACGCCGTCCTGTGGCGCCTGGACAACCATTTCCATTTTCATGGCCGAGAGGACAACGAGGGGCTGGCCCTTCTCCACCTTGTCGCCAATGGTCACGCGCACGTCAATGACATCGCCGGGCATGGGGGCGCCCACTTGACCCTTCACCGTCTTGTCAGCCTTGGGATGAATACGGATTTCCTAAAAAAATAATTCAAAGCTCATTAAATACGGCTCATAGAGATATCTGGTCAACAGTTAATGTACCTTCATAGCCTCCTTGTCGGGAATGTGGACAGAGCGCAGCTGGCCGTTCAGTTCGAAGAACACCTCGCGCTTTCCATTCGGTTTGAGATCGGCAGCCATGGCCAAGGCCTTCATGCTCAGAGTCTTGCCGCGCTCCAAGGTAACTTCGAACTCTTCGCCCACTTTGGGGCCTGACAGGAATATGCGTGTATCCAGCTTGTCGACGGGACCGTATTGCTCGCGGTAGTGCAAGAACTCATTGGTCACTTGTGGATAGAGCGCTGCCGAAACAACATCACGCTCGGTAACATTTACATGAGATTCGCTCAGCTCGGCCTTCAGCTTGTCAAAGTCCAGTGGCGCCATCTCAGCACCAGGTCGGCCTTCGATGCGTGGCATGTCCTTCAGAACGCGTGAACGGAATGGTTCTGGGAAGCCGCCATATGGAATACCAATGTAGCCCTGCAGGTACTCGATCACCGATTTGGGGAAGGAGAGCTCTTCGGCTTTTTCAACCACTTGAGCACCATTCAGATTGTTCTGCACCATGAACTGAGCCAAGTCACCCACAACCTTGGATGACGGAGTGACCTTAATAATGTCGCCCAACACGAAATTGGCCTCGCGGTAAGCTTTCTTGACATCCTCGAACATATCGCCCAGACCTAGAGAGAACGCCTGGAACTGCAGATTGGTATATTGACCACCGGGGATTTCGTTCAGGTACACATCGGCATTTCCTGATCTCATTGTTGTGGTGCACTCGAATGGTCCGTACAGAGTACGGGTTTGTTCCCAGTACGCCGAATACTCGGAAATATCGGCCAAATCCAGCTGCGTGTCCAAGGGAGTGCCCTGCAGAGAAGCGACTACCGCTCCCATACTTGGCTGTGAGGTCATTCCAGACATTGAGTCGACGGCCACATCCACAACATCAGCTCCAGCCTGAGCACAGGCGAGCATAGACGCAACACCGGCTCCAGAGGTGTCATGAGTGTGGACATGGATTGGAACATCGGGATGCTTGTCGCGGATGGCAG